TTCACCAAGTCGAGATTCACCCTAGTCATCATAACTTCTCAAAACCTGGGGTATAATATCGTCATTCCTACCAATCGTCAGTAGCTGACCTGATCAGTCTACCGAAAATCCAAAGTTTGCACTGAAAGAGATCGACGCGTCCGAGCAGCGTGCGTATAGGAAAGAGCTCCACGCCCTGGAAAAAACATGTGCACACGCACAAACGGAGAACCATTTGATCAAACTTCTGCTTACTTTCCAACATGGTAATACATTCTATCTGCTCTTTGAATGGGCAGATGGGAATCTTCAACAGTTTTGGGACAAATATTCATCCATTGAACCTACCCCTTCAAATGAGTTATGGGCAGCTCAGCAATGCCTTGGCCTAGCCCGAGCAGTCAGTCGTATTCACGGGCTTAGTTCGTGGCATGCGCGTAAGAGGAAAAGAAAGGGGTCAAACTCCCTCGAATTTCAGAATGAAGACAAACATGAATGGGGAAGGCACGGAGACATCAAGCCCGAGAATATACTGTGGTTCGAAGAACACGGGGAACTCCGGAGACACCTCGTGATTTCCGACTTAGGGCTTGCGCGATATCATACCGAATTCTCAAAATCGCTGGTTCCTCGAGCACTGATTGACGGGATAACGTGGGGTTATCGGGCACCTGAGGTAGACTTCAGGGAACCGATATCCCAAAAATACGATATTTTCTCACTGGGTTGCGTATTCCTGGAGTTCTGCATTTGGTATTTGCGAGGGTTGCAGGATGTGGAAGACTTTGGTCTCGAGCGAGAGGATGAAGATGAGCCTGAGTTTGATGATGTAAGAAAAGATCAATTCTTTTGCGTGAAAGGCGACAGCAACACCGTCCAAGATGCATGTTTGAAGGAATGTGTACAAAAGGTATGATCTCTGTGCAAGACCAGATTCTTTCATCATACTGACAACGATGTAGCGATTGTCTCAACTGAAAAATGGAACAAATTTTACGAAGGCAATGGCTAGTGTGATTGAGGAAAGAATGCTCCGCTGCAATCCATTAGAACGATCGAAGATTGATCTCATTCGCGTCGATCTCCAACACCTTGTTGCAGCACTGAAAAGATCACCTATTGAGCAAAGTTCGCAGGACTGGCCGCAATTATCTCCCAGCCCAAATTTGTCTCCGCTGTCGGATACGAACAACACATTGCGCAGATACTCTTCGCATTTAACACTCGACAGCCGAGAAGAGACTTCATCAGTCGAAGGACGCGACACCAACGGGGCCCGATCATCCCGGTCCGAGCAAGCACAGCCCGAGAACTATGAGCATGACGATAGTCACAGCGACTACGATGATATATCGATTGAGCCTATAGCCACCGCTACAGAGCCAGCTATAAAAGGCAAGTTGCTACAGGCGGAGGCTCAGGAAGTATCGATGACCCCATCATTACACTCCATTGCCGAACTGCAGGCCACACAAAAATATGCAGAACCTCCGAATACACAAAAACAGTCGATGGATTTCGAAGGCGGCAAGATTGAACCAAACAGGCGATCAACCACGACGAGGTTCAGGCATGCTAGGACCAGGTCCAAGCAATGGGTCCGAGAAACTTGGAGCGATGTCAGGGGTGTTTGGAAGTAAAAGTGCTCTGGTTACTATTGCTTGGACTTGACCTGAACTATTACAAAGCATGCCTCTAGGCTTGAGTACGCCGCTTCCTGGATTGTGGCCTCAATTTTGATTCATGTCGTCTGGTTCTGAGAACCGAATCCTGGAGGGAAAAGCTCTCAATGGACATAGACTGAGTATGTAAATGATACGCTTCGGTTTGTTCGGTCAGCTGGCACGCTTATTTAGAAGCATGAAAGGCATCATTGCTGGGATGACGCAAACATATCTCAAGGCGAAGGCTTGAGTGGCGGACAGAGTACGAGGAAATCTATCCGTCGAGTGCGGTAATCGGATGCAACTTGGTTGTTTCATGATAACGCTATAGAACATGGTTCGTCTATTTTGCAGAGCACAAAAGAACATTGATTCATCCTTGCTTACATCAGCTTCAGTGCTCCTAAATGTACGATGCGTTCGGCTGTGTAAAGTTGTCCTTCTAGAAACTTTGTCCCTATTTTGATGCAACAGTCGATCAATTTTCGGTAGGACCAAAACTGAAAGGTCAAACATGGTGCGTTGGGACTTCAGCTTGGTTTGGTTCAAGCAAGTTCTTGTATACTAAGATGCATAACTTGGTCAGGAGCCCCATAAAGTTGAATATGTCCATCTTGGTGCCCTTTCGTATCTTGACGTGATTTTGACTTCACCCATACCTCTGCAGATGTCATTATCATCGACTTTGACTGGAAGTCTCCCCGAGAGGACTAACTCATGCCAAAGCACCAGTACTGCGTTGAGGTATCTAAAAGCCGTTGCCTAGTCTGCATAGAACTTGAGGACAGCCTAAAACTGTTCGAGAAAGCTGCGTGCTCGGGATGACCATGCATATCGCTCCAAGACTCCTGCACCCAATTCAGCTCCAACTTGGGAGATGAGCCGGAGACACCCAGCGGACTCGGTACCACTTTTGCTAGCGGGATAGTTATCACGCAAGTTTTCAAATACTGTTCAGGCAGGCGATTGCTCTTGAAGACGCAGACTTGTGCTCCAAATAGCCGCTGTACAAACTCCTAGATTTGTATGATCCCCTGCAGGCTCGTCCGCAATCGCTCGGTGGATCGTGTCGTGTTGATCATGATCGCCGGCACCGTTCAGGCGTTGGCGATATTCGTTCAGGTAATGAGCCACTGTGATACTTCTCGCTTCTTCCCGCTCGTGGCACACCAAATGTTGATCGTCATGTTGCGAGGCCATTCTCAGAGACAACTCAAACGCGACCCGAAGATGAATTGCAGTTAACGTGGGCAGAGCATTCAAGTCTCCATGAGCGCGACGATAAATCAGAACCGCTAGCACTCCAGTACATGCTGTTCGCCTTTCTGTAGGCTACAGAAGTTAAATATTTGCAGGTTATGCAGCCTAAGCTTCCAGTACGGAAGGAAGATTCTAGCCGCACAACTATGTAGAACGGATGTTCTATAGTATAACACTATTGTCTGGAATGAGATACAGCACGATATGGATCAATATCGATGGAGCGCAAACAGTAGTGTTCCCACCCGACAAATTAGTAGCAAGCTACTTTAGTGATTGTTCGCCATGTATAAATGTAATTATCTCTAGAGTAACTGAGTGCAGCTAGCTAAACCTGGGTGGGATCGGATTGGTCCGAACTGAACCAGGTTTTGACAGCTGTCCTCAGTAGTACAGAAAAATAGTAGAGCGCTTGTCAAAGATGCAAAGAATGCGACACCAAAATTTTATTATGTATGAATGTAATTAGAATAGATATGCGTGAGCGAATACAAAACAAGGTTCTCTCCAGCGGGGAACCCCAATTCCCCACGATTTTTCAATTGCTTAGCAAGCAGAGATACAGACCACTATATCCCTACGCCGTCCGCTACGAGATCCATCATTTTCCAAGTTATAGGCTATATTAAACTGGAGCCAGAGTTCTGTTTTCGGTATATTAACCTTGTGATAGGAGCCAATGTATCATTGCCCATATGTGTTGAGCCCCTTGGCATGTTGGTGGCGCCTAGCGCTTTAAAGCAGCATTGCAGCGTCTAACAATCAACGCTGATTAGCTTTGTGCTATAGCATTCCCACTTTCCGAGTTTATATGGACTGCAGTGTCTTGACATGGACCAAGCGGTTCTAATAAAGGTTATTTGAAACAACCGGACGCGCAGATGCAATTCATCACCTTGCGTCCAAGTTTCGCGCCCATACCTGGCTGACGGGTTGCACTCGTAGCCGGGAACTCCGAACCTGCTTTACTGAGTTTCACTGTAGTGTGAAGTATTCCACCAGAAGAAGTGCGATCTCTTCGAAATGGACAGTACGATGGATGACTTTATAATCAGATACGATCCTGACTTCATGGTGGATGAAGTCGTAGCTCACAATGAACGCCATCTTCTTCTCTTCCAACCAGCAAGAGACATTGCAATCGCAAGAAAGCTAGATGATCAAGACGGGCTATCGGTGTACAAATACCCTAAACTTCAATGTGCTCGGAATATTCGGCTACTGGGGTACTCAGCGATATTGAACTCCAACGAAGTAAGATTTCACCTCAGCGAAACCTCGATCGAGGCCATACGTGGAAGATTCGTTGCCATATCGTACTGTTGGGGCGGTGAAATACCAACAGAGAACCTGCCAATTTCATCCAGAGCCTATCTCAAAGTTACCAGAACCGTCTATTCTATCCTACGCCATATCTCTGGGGTTGCAAGCGGCCTCCCAATCTGGCTAGACGCGATTTGCATCAACCAGGAAGACTGCGAGGAGAAAGGCGTTCAAGTCAGTATGATGGGAGACATTTACGCAGCAGCTCGGTGTGTCCTCGTTTGGCTAGGAAACGGGGATCTCACTCACGATGAAGAGTCAGTTCTTTGGTCATATTTAACGTCTCCTTACATTCACAACAATGCCACACTTGACAACATCAGCAGGTTCGGAGGAGTCGGTGATCATCTATTTGGGCGGGTTTTGCAGTCTCCCTGGTTCGAGCGAGCTTGGATCGTTCAGGAATTATGCCTCGCGCGCAAGGTATTATTTCTCTCCGGAGCACTAGGAATGTCTCTGCCCTTCTTAAAAGATTATCTGGAGGTTAGGCGCAAGAACTACAACAGCCTTCCAGATTCATATTCGATTCCTTCCGACTGGGGCCGGACCAGTCTGCCAGCTTTCAAACAATTTCCGAAATTATGCGCTCACAGAGAATTGATCCAAAAGAATGACGGCAAGCCACGAGTTACGCTTACTGATATTCTATTGGAATTCCAGTCCTTCAAGGCGACTGACCCACGGGATAAGGTTTTCGCTTTTCTCGGCCTCGCAGCCTATCATGGCCTGAAACCAGACTATACGGACGCTATCGGCAACGTGTTTACAAAAGCGATGGTGGCGTGTTCCCCTTCTCTTTACGATTATCGCATTCTGGGTTACGCCGGACTCGCTAATCCAAGAATCGATGGACCAACATTATTTGGCTCGGTCCCTACCTGGGTTCCGGACTTTTCATGCACCTTCTTCGCCCCGCCATTTACCCTACATAACGACTTCAAGGCTACTTCGCCAAGAGACATCCGAGAAGCAGCCTCGGAATCTAGAAAAAAGCAACAATTATTACACCGAGGGCCCCCAGGCAGTTTGAGCCTTCTTCTTGAGACGGCTTTCATAGATACCATTGAAGAGATGTCCAAGCCTGGACTCTGTTCTGTGGAGTCTACTTTTCTCGATGAGCAAGCAGTTGCAAAACGCCAATATGACATGATAAATGAAGGAATAGAGATGCTGAGACGGCAGAACCGTCACCCAGTCTTGAAAAAAGCCTCTGTGATATGCTTTGAAACCGTAATTGCCGAAGGTTTTAATAATTCCAATAACTTGTCTGATGAAATGAAAGCTGCTGCATTTGAGGCTTTCCAGGAATCGAAAGGCGCTTTACGTTTTTCTTCTCAAGAAGATAGCAATATCACGAGGTTCTATGCGCACATGCATAGGTCCGGAATTGGCCGTTCAAGAAGACTATTCACGACCCAAGGGGGCCGTCTTGGAATGGCAAACGGGAGCATCAGAAAAGGCGACCGAGTATGCCTCATCTCTGGGGCCCCAGTACCTTTCGTTTTACGAGGTCCAATTGCTAATCACGGTCGGCACGCTATTTACCACCTCGTATGCGATGCATATGTGTACGGAGTTATGTATGGAGAGGCATCTGACGTCAACGACTATCCATTCGAGACCATCTTGCTGGAATAAGCGTTCCTTTCCACTGATACTAATCTCTATTTTGGAAATCGAGGCCCTGATCTATGCGCATGTGCGGGACTTAAGGATTGAACTGAAATTATCCCTTGTTGACTTTTGAACAGTGTACCCTAGAGGGCGGCTACTGAGCTTTTGTAGGCCATATTGCAAGCATCTTGCCACATCTTCAATCTGTACAAATAAGACGCTGATCCCAATTAGGGTGCATAGGTAGATATTACAATTAGTAGAAATTACAAGCTAGCTATGAGGATATGCGTAAATTGATGAGGATATTTAAGACGCCCACTTCTATTTCTGACTACATAGGTAGTAGAATATACAAACTAGGTGATATGGATACCATCTATGTGCAGACGAATGAGCAGTCGGTTCCTGAATGTAGGGCGAGCGCGGTTGGGGGTGGCGTACACGCGGCTCGGGGACAAACGCCTATGTAGGTGGGGGTCAGCCACAAGCTGCCCTAGTGCTTAGGTAGCTCTGTATCATGACCAATAGGGAGGAAACAGTTGAGTGTACGATCATAGATAAGGAAAGGTTCTGTCAAAGACTGGAGAAGCGGTCGAGCGAAAAAAATTAGTGTTCCGGATCTAGATCCGACAATATCAGTGCGTTGCTCTCGATTTAGGTATTTAAAGGAAGTTCAATTCAGGGACTTGTGAGTGCGCCCCGCCCAGTGTGGGAAATCCAAGCAATCATCTCCGCATCTACGATGCCGATAAAGCTCATCATAAGCACATTTGCATGTAGTCACTTGCGATGATGTAGTCGCGATTGTTTAAATGGGAAACCTAAGGCGAACCTGAGATGATCGACCTAAACACGCGACCGCTAGTCTTGATGGATGACGAGGGTGAATTTTTTTTCACTCCCCTCGTAGGTAAGCCGGGTTGCATCCTTCTGATGGCAAACAACGACTTGATACGCTCGATCTATGATCTGAGTAGTTCGAATGATCGCTCATTTGGCAGCATTATTATGGATTAGTGGTCACCCTGCAGGGTCTACGTGCTTCTTCCGAACTGAGCTCTACTCCATTCAACGTTCGTTTTGCTACGCTGCACCACTTTGACTCAATTGTGCTCTTCAACAATATATTGTGATGCGTCGGAAATTACGCGCAGATCCAAGAGTGTATTGGAATTGCTATTGTCGAGTTAAATGGTAGTATTCACGCAAATATACACGCAGTGGATAAATACAATTATATGCTTTATGGGAGGTTCTTAGAATGTACGTTAAATAGAATTGTGAGGGGGGATTGGATAAGCTCGCGCGCCCAAAGAGCGTGCTACCACCTGAGAAGATAAACGTCTCTTTCAAGCCTCTGAGAAGTCTACTCCTATAGCACATAGCTCCTTTATTGCTTACGCTCATAAAATCCAAGAACTCTACAAGACATGCCAGAGCGTTCGTGATAATGAGTTTGAAATACCACCTCGTGATTCATCACCTTGCCAAGACTACTGCTACTGCGCGTAAGAGACTTTAGTGCTAGGGCAACTATCGAGTAACTATTTAGAATGGAAGTATATTTATAGCTCAAGCTACGCGAGAAGGGTTATCCTAAAAAGCGGAAATTGCTGAGTAAGATGCTTTTGGCAAGGTTGTGAGGGAGATGAGACAGCACCTCTGACATGCCACCCAGCAGCGAACACCTGCTACCGCACAGGCCTTAGTGCCAAGTTAAAAGGCACTAGTAACCCGTTTTGTGTACTAAGTGATGCCTCTTACCTAGTCTATATGACAAACATGCGATGTTTGGCGCGTTTGCGGGGTCAATCTACCATACGAATCGCATGAGTTGACGGAATTAACGTTGAGCTGAATAACATCGAGCCTACTAGTGAGTCTTGCTAGCTCAATAAAGCAACGAATGCTAAATTTGTAATCAATTATTTTTAGGTTATAGAGACGGGAGAGCAAGATGATATTACATGGAAAAGACGGCACTGTGTTAGAAGTCAAGCAGGCCAATCCTTGGTTGCATGATCCAAGAGACTGCGTGCATTGAGTGAGGTCATACTGCTGCCGCATCTCGCCTGGCTGCTTACAAGATCATCTAGCCAGAAATGTGCAGAGTCGGCCTATTATTGTCATGATCCTGTTCATTTACCCCAGATTCTGACGAGGGAGCTGGGGTGTCTGCGACGCTAGTCGTACAGGCATTACCTTGACACATAAAACGACATATGTCTCGGCACGCTATTCCGCTCTTCGCAGTTTGCACGGCTACCAAAAGTGGGATAGCGTCGGAAAGTGTATTATCTTGTGTGGAGCGGGCGCCGGTATATGACCGGTGGGGCTAGTGCACGCACTAAGTTAGTGACGATTGCCATTGCGAATCAGCCGACCTCATGTCCATAGCTCCTGCTCGGGTCGGTGGGGATAGCTGGCTCTATAGTGAACCATGTATCAAATAAACTGTTTCATGTTTCCAATGAGGTTATAAACCGAATCTCTCTGCTATGCAGTAACCCGGCCTTATACGTCCGAATTCGCACTTGGCATAAAACGCCTAGAAAGTCGGGATTACACGCCTAGGAAACATGAATTAACCTGGAACCTTACATGTTTTGACGATTTCTTCGTATCGTCATGCCTTAGTTGTGGGTTCACTGGGCGAGATGTGATTTGTGTACAACCAGTAGGACATTCTTACACTTTAAATACTCTCACTTTTTCTTTCTTTTAACAGACACCAAACTGTTACCTTCATTGTCTCAGACAGGTTCTACTTTCGTTTTAACTTTCTTCTTCAAGAACACGAACCACTGTCATGTATTGCAAACCACACTTCCTTGCCTTGCTTTCAGCGCTTCGGCTCACCACAGCAAATCCTATCGCCTTGCCTCAAGGTGGAAGTGCTTCCTGCCCCTCCGAAGCATTGAACGAGGCGACATGGAAAAAACTAGATCTTGATGGTTTTCTCGCGGGTGCCGCTCCGAACCTTACTACAAACAATGTTCAGGGGTTCGCTTCATCACTAGGAGCCCCCAACTTCTTTTGGTGAGTACTTGATATGTTTACTGCGATGCTAGGTAGAAGGAAAATGGACTAACAACTGTTCTTCCAGTGGGCTTGACCAGTTTTGCAACGCCGGCCAACCTTGTCTTCCGGTCTCTCTTCCTGCATGGTAAGCTTGCCCATGATCTATGTCAAAGATTTCACTATAATATAATTGTACTTTCGGACGTCCAGCTAAATAAGCAATACAGGTATGCCTTGGTCGCAGTTCAAAACTATAACAGCTACATGAATTCGCTCAATACTGCCATCTCCTTTGCCGCTTCCATTATGTCCTTAGAAATACCTGCCGTTGTCGCCGACTTCTGGCCCGAACCTACAGACGATGTTACCCCTTTCAAAGACATGGTTTCTCTGGTCACCTCTGCCCTGAGCGCCGTTCCATTCACTGGCGCCCTGGCCACAGTGAACACTGTTTCTGGGGTGGTTGCCAATTTCCTTACCAACCAAATGAAGCCCCCGGAACAACCAAATCTCTTTATCAAATGGAGCGACATTGGCGTGAGCATCGCTACCGCAGTCAAAGACTACCAATCTACCGTTGCAAGTTCTCTCCGAACTACACTCGACGCTGAGATCAACAACCCAACGTCTGGTATCAATTCCATTTTGGCCGGCGGTAGCTTCTTGGGTGTCGCCCAAAACTTCACGGAAACAGATATGCAGAAAAAGGTTGCAGATAGTATGAAGCTTCGCTCTATTGCTCTCCTACTACAAGCACAAAAGGCCTATATCTACAGGGCCACCATCCCTGCCGACAGCTGCACAAACGGAGATCAGCCTTCGGAGTTATGCACTTCGGCTACTGATCGCCCAAATTCCTTCACACTACGAATAGGCGATGACAGTCCATTTGACATCCCGAATGTGATCATAACAAAGTATGGGATCTCCAAAGAAACATTCTTGCAAGGTCCCTCGGATTGTTTCGACGAACACGGTGTGCAGCTTTTCACCCCAGAGATCTTGCCGATTGACTCCACCGCCAAGTGCATCTTCAACCTTCCGGTGTGCACTTTTAATGCCGATACTTTCCCGGGACGCACTGTCCAGGAAAACTGCAGACTGCAAGGAATTGACGTATAAGTATAACGTGTTTCACAAGCGAGCTGATCACTCCCTATCAACGCGTCAACTTCGCAACATTATCACAGCCATTTAACACAGTATATCAAAAATCGTAATAAGCCAATTTACTCTTCAGATCTATCACTATCACTAGCACTATCAATTTCTACTATACAGGTGCGCGCATTATGCCCAGTCTCCTTGCAACGCCCGCAGCGCCTCTCCCCTCGCACCCTCTTCGACGCACTCTCACCATCACC